GATTCAGAGGCTACTGAGCAGTCTTAAAATTTGCCTAAATAGATTTCTTTTATTGTTTGCTTATTGGACAGTTTACAGATTTACTTAACTATTGCTTTTTACACCACTGGCTGAGTACTGCATGAAGTATGTTGATTTTAAGAGTAGGGCTACACGAGGTATCTCCACTGAATTTTTTTATACCTAAGGTTTAAAATGAATTTTTAAAAATGAAAAAGCATTCTTAAAGATTTCATTTTAGCTTTAATTGAAAGCTAAATGATTAAATTTACTATTTCCAGTAAGTAAAATATTCTGGTATATTTCAAATAGAAATTATATAGATCAGAATCTCAACTTTTTGGCCAATTTCAGAAAATTCTTAAAAGCGGCAATTTTCTTAATTTTAAGAAATTTGTCAGTTTTAAAAATCTTCCAAAAATAAAATATATATTTGTGACACATTATTTGAGTAAAATTAGCAAATTTAAAGTAAATTAATTGGATTTGTGATAAACATTACTTACTTATAGCATAAAAACGTAATATAGAAGCATTTCTTAATGACGAGTCCTGTTTTTTTTTTATCTTTATTGACATATCGATAAGTTCTGAGGTGATGACTGCTAGTACAGATGATCAGAATCGACATAAATTTATGAAATCCAATTATTATTACATCGGCTGCTAATGTGAACAAAGCAAGATTTTTTTAACCAAAATTTCAGACATGCTAGAAAGGATTAAAAAAAAAAAAAAAAAAATCTTTCTCTCTCTTGTTCTAGACAGAATACAGAGATTTTTTTCTGCATAAATTGCTGTGGAGAGACCATTTTATACTGGATACAAATATTCTGTTCATATTGTCTTGATTAGATTGTTTTCAGAAATTTGGAAAATGAAAAATTGCAACACTTGTCTTATTGTTGAAGTTGGCTGGAAGTGTTAATTTCTCAAGTCAATGGCATGATATTCTGTTGGTCTGAAGTCACAGTGATCCTACAAAGTTTTTCCACTTGCTACAATGATAATGTTTAAATAAGAAAATCAAGGCATTTGAGTATGTCTCAAATACTCATGCTGTTTGACCATGACTCATCTTTAGCAATCTGTTTCATGTGCTTTGAGACATTGATTTAAACAAACCATTCATTTAACCCCATTTTTTGTTGATTTGGAGAATTAATTCTTTAGTCAAACATGCCAACTGACGTGTGTGCATGCACATACCAAGTTCTTGAATTTAGTATGACAGGGAGAAGTGTTCCCATGGCTTAAATGTTTAAATATTACTTGGTTCTAACAAATTCCCCCAGAGTTATGCCAAAGTTCAAATCCAATGGTTTCCAACTGCCAAATTCATTTATTGAATAACATGAATTTTCTAGATTTATTATTTACACTTTACCAGTTCTCTAGATGAACAGACTGTAGATTTCTTTGAAAAAAAAAAAAAAAAAACATGCATCATTTCTATTACGGGGGAAAATGGTAACCTTTTATTACTGTTTTCAGTTCTCATTGCCAAACTTCTTTGGGGATAAGCCACCCCTTTTTCCTATTATACTGTTAATATAGGTATTTGTTCTTATAACTTAACATTTTTATATCCAAACATTCCCACTACTACCCTATTTCTTCCTCCTGGTCTTCTACATAATAAATGTGAATGTCAACTTTACTCCTAGTGGCCGTAGCCCAACATACCATACCATTTTAGAATTAGGTCAACTCCATAAGCAAATTAAAAATATTCTAGGCCATATCCAGACCTGCAATCCTGAAATTTTGGATTCCGAAGTTTTCATTACTGTGATTGTATTCAGATTCTGACATCATGGCTTAAACTGATAAAAACAATTAGAGGGACACAACTCTCTAACTTTCAATAGCTCATCTCCAAGTGAAAAAAAAAATTACTGTTCTCAATTTACAGTGTTTCAAAATAAAATTGACAATGTTTTCAACTTTACTCCTAGAGGCTGTAACTCAGTATATACCATTTTCGAATCAGGCCAACTCCGTGAGCAATTTAAAGACATTCTGGGTTGGATCCAGACCAGCAATCCTGAAATTTAGGATTCCCAAGTTTTCATTATTGTGATTGTTTTTGGTGATTTTTTTTTTTTATGTGATTTTTACAACAAATTTTTTTTATGATCATTTTTAGAACTTGGAAATAAACTTGGGAATAATCAAAATTAACTGTGAAATCAAGTCACCCATGAAACAAAAATAATTGTTTGTACAGATAGTAAGGACCTATGTACATCAAATTGTTAAATTAAGTGGCGGCAAAAGAATTATTGTTGAACTTTTAAAAGGTAAGCTAATGCAATACTTAAATGCACTAATGAATTTTGAGTTCTTCTGTAGTTTATTGTTGTCTATTGCATCTACTCCTCCATACCCTATTGTGATGAAAGCCCAATCAAGAGCACTCCCAGGAGCAAGCTTAAATGCTTATTTTTATAACTATTTCTGTCTCTTCTATAAAAAATGTCGAGTTTACAAGTCAATTTTTATCCATTTTCTTGTTTGTTCTTTATTGCATATAAATTAATAGAAAAGGATTTTCTAAAAAGGAAGATTTTTGTAAATTAAATAATCTGTCTGATCCACATATAAAGATTATCTTTCTTCCTTTTATTTATTTTAATATTTTTTTCTAACATTTATTCATCCTATTTCTCTTAGAAAGTTCAGAGGGTACATGGCCAAAAAAAAAAAAAAAAAAAAAAAACAAACAAACAAACAAAACAAACAAACAAAAAAAAAAAAAAAAAAAAATTTTTTTAAATAAACAACCAAAGATGAGTAAAATAGTCTGGCAAAACAACATACAATGATTAAAACACCCTGCCTAACAAGTTTCAAATATATTTAAGTTGTATAATAAAATAAAGTTTTGCTTTATTTCTTTTGTTAACAGGATAATTACAACTATATTGCATCCAACACTAAGAAAATGTTTTTTATAACTAAAATAATTAATTGGTGAATCCCATTGTTTATCTCAACAGAATACAATTTTTTTTTTAAACTACTTTGTCTAAATTTGAGAAAATTGATAGAAATTAAAACAAAAAGAAAAAAAATTTAAACATCTTATTTTTAGATGTGCCCACATATCTAGTAACAATGACTGTCATTCACCAACTGACAGACATACCGAAATACTCCCTACAATCATGGCTCTCTATTGGCCTGCAGCCAATTTCATTGTCAGGTTGTCTGGTTTCATTTGACAGTCTTCCAAGATGGCAATCCATGAAATCAAACTAGTCCATCCATGGTCTGCCTCCAGACCTCCGTATGCTTGTATGCGTACACACTAATACTGATCACAGAATACACAGATATTCTGATAAGAGACAAAAATGTTGACCTATCCATAAATAGCCTCATCATTTTTGACAGGTATTAGTTATAATACACAGAAGAAAAATTTTGCTAGGTCACATTTTAATAATCGTGTTACTCTTATCATATTTTGTAATCATTTTGAGTGGATAAATTGCTAATATTGAACAAAAATTAAATATTAAAATTATATTCAATCATTTATTCACAAATGTCAACAAGTCACTTCAGTTTTCTGAGACTCTTATATTAGACATCTTCATGAGGAAATTTTAAGGTTTATGGCTTTCAGTGATGTTATAAATTGTGCATATTGTATTACTCTATTGCTACTTCTATGGCAAATGTTCAGATGCCCTCAATTCTCTAGTTCCACAAGTTATGGCCATCATGGCTGACATACCATGGTAGTTCCATATAGTTGAATCACATTAATTTCCTCTGTGTTCCAAATGTAAGATGAAAATTCCACTGACAGCTTTCCCTTTCCTCCAATGAACTGCCACTTTGTGGAACAAACTCCTGTGTAGGTAGTTCACTAAACACATTAATCCTGACCTCTGCACATCAAAGATAAATTTTCATCTTTTCTCCTTATCCTTACATAATCTCATTTCCTACCACCTTCTATTCATATCAAATGTCTCATTCAGCATTATCATTTTGAATGTAACCCTCTACCATGAGTAGATCTCAAGCCATGAGTAGATCTCAAGCCATGCAGTGAACAATATATATATATATAAGTTTTGTGAACAACATGTGTTCCTCAGCTATTAAGTGCTGCTCAGAAAAAAATAAATACAGAAATGGTGATAATCTGACTAAAGTAAGACATTTTAGAAGTTTCACTCACATAAAACTACACAATCCAAAAATCAATGTTAATTTTATCAAACAAATACAGATGTTAAACTAATTGGTAAATGCTTTAACAGAAGACACCTAAATCCATATGTACATTGGATTAGCAAAAGTTACAGTCCAAAAGCTAAAAGTATTAACAAACAAGAAAATTTAATTAGAAACAAAGAAAAGAGTGCTGGATTTCTATGTGATATCAATCCTCTTGTATGGCAGTGAATGCTGAATAATCACCCCACAGATGAAGATAAAAGTAGAGGCAAAAGAAATGTGGTCATACAGAAGGATACTGAGAATTCCATTGACAGCATGTAAGCAATAAGGAAGGAAGAAAGAACAGAAAGAACACTTATACTCAGAAAAAGACAACTGAAGTTTCTTGGATACATTATGAAGAAAGAGGGCTTGTAAAACTTAACACTTACAGGGTATATCAAGGGCAAGATAGATAAGGGAAAGCAGCAAGCCACCTACTTAACAAGTTTGTGTGAATGGACAGTGGAATGGGGCAAGGAGGCTTGGCAAATGGAGAAACACTGATAAGGGCCAAAAAAGATAGGAAGTTGTGGAGAGGCATGATTGCCCACGCCCTGAAGGGAAGAAGCGTGAAACATGAATTTAACTGCAGAATCAAAGAGCAACCAATCATTCTAAACAAATTTATTTCACTAAATATTTTAAAATTCTTCCCACTGCATACATGATATAAGCTTACAAATTATCAAAGAATTTTTTTTCTTTATTAGCAAAATTTGTTATTAAAAAAAAAACAACCAGCAACAAAAATGTCTTACCTTTTTCTTTTATAAGGAGACTTTGGCATGTCAGCTGTGGGGACCATCTGTTCTCCTGGACGTGCCCATAAAATTGGACCATCATTACTTTCACGTCTATCTTTCATTTTAACTGATGACAATTCCCCCCAAGGCATAGTAAGTCGTAGGAAAAGGTTACCTTCCAAAATATCAAGGAACTCTGGGAAATAGTCACCAACCTCTTCATGTACTGTGCCAACGAGGCTCAGTTGAAGAAGAGGCCCTGTTCGTACAGTGCCATTTTGGTAGGTCTTTTTGATCTGGTCCCAATATGAAGCAACTGTCTTGGTCTCAATATCTGACTTACCTAAAACACCTGTCTTGATAGTCAAGTGTGGGTATTTGTCAGTAAAATATTCCAGAAAATCTGGCAGAGAAGAGGCAGCATTGTGGACAATGCCCATCACACAGTTGGACACTCCTTCAGTTTCTTCATCAAACACAACATGAAAATACTCCCTGACAAACTCCGAGAACTGCTCAGGTGAAAGCTTTTCAAGTTCCTCCTGATAAGAGTGCAGTACTAAAGCGCCACCATTTGAATAATATTCAAAATGCATCAAATCCTGGTATTTCAAGGCATCATTGACATCACCACTTCCAGATCCAAAGTTGCTACTTTCACTTTCTCTTTTACCTCCAGGATGTACAAATGAGACAGATTTTGCAGATTTTATACAATGGTCATGATCGGATGACAATGTGATCTTCAGATCTGACAGATTATGAGTGATGGACTTGCGTTGTGTTTCTTTATTGGTCTGGGTGCCCTTACTGAACACAGCTCTCCGGCTATGGCTCTCCAGTCGTTGAGCAATCTCCACCTTTCGGTCAGTCGAGGCTGAATGTTCCCGCTTAGCTAATAGTGACGAATCTTTCCCATCATGGTGATTAGCCAAACTTGAATGCTTCAGGGACACTTGTACTGATTTATTTTCGGTGCGCCGTCTCAGGTTCACTTGCACCCCACAGTTGCTAACTATCCGCTTCCTTGGGGGTGGCTTTACCCGCACCACATTAGACGAGTCACCATTGACCCGTTTTGAGGATTCCTCTTCGGGATTGTCTTTCTTTATGTTTTCTTTCTCAGAGTTATGAATGTGCGGCTTAAAACTAGATGTCTTCTCGTGAGGAGATTCTGATTTATGGTGATGATGGTGTGACGGCTGCAAATGGTGATGGTGGTGATGGTGGTGGTGGTGATGATGGTGTGGGTGGTGGTGATGGTGGTGGTGGTGCTTGCGCTTTTCCTTATCTCCTGATGTTGCCATAGTGCCAGTTGCTGTTGTAATGGTAGATGATGAGGATGTCAGCCCTTCCTGACTCTCAGAATTGCTGCCACTTTTGGTGTGACTAGCTTTGGACTTCTTGGCTGCACACACACGATCATGCAGCTTGATGGAATCGCTGCTGGCAGAGTTTTCTGCATTTTTCTCAAGTTTAGTCTTTTCTTTTTTCTTTATACTATGCAGAGATGTTTCAGGGCATTTTCTGCAATCATCATTTGATATGGAAATATCTGAAAAATAAAAGTAACATTTTAATCTTACTTAAAAGATGAATAAAAGTACAAGGGGAAAGCACACAAAACATTTTCAGAATGTAAGATTTTACAAGTATATCAATTGGTACTGAATGATGAGCAAGTTGCCTACAATATAAATGAGAGGTTGCAAGCGAAAAATCAATAACACTTATAACATTGTGTAAAAATTTAAGATACAAATCCAATTTAAGGATTTGAGATAAGATTTTTATTCATATTTGTTAATATATTTTCTTATATTCCCAAATCTAACTGAATTTGTGAGAATAATTTAGTCTCAATTTCTGTTGACAAGAAAATAAAGATATCAATCTAAGTTAGGTACCTCCACAAAATCGCTAAAAAAAGAGCATAGCTTGATGAAAAAGACGCCAACCTTGCCGAAAACAAAATTTTATTGTCTAAATGCTTATGTTATTATTAAGAGGAAAGACCAAAGTTTTTTTTAATTATTTTAAAAAAATTTTCCTTCTTTTTAGAACATTCTAAATTTTGATTAAAAAAAAACCTTGTTTCTATTTGTATCAGCGGAACTAGTAAATAACAGACAATTTTTAGCACGTTTTTTTTTGGTATGACACACATTAATTTGAAAAATCGTGCAAAAATAGAAATAATTATCGGATGTTAATGAAACTTTCAGGAACTATTCACAGATGATCGAAATTATTATAAATATGTTTTTTTTTATGAAAGTCATGGTAGAAATATTTTTTAAAATATTTATTACCCCCCCATAACTAATTTTATGAAAAAACGCTAGAAATTCAATCGCATCGGTTTTAGTGATTACAATAATTAAAAGCACAGGGCTTTGAGGAATGCAAATCATGTTTTTTTTTTTTTTTAATTGGATCGCAGTACCTGAAAATCAGCTCTGAATTGTAACATACAAAACTCAATAAAACAAAGATATTATTTAATTTCAAATGCTTTTATTTGCTTTTAGTTGTTTTTTTATGAATATGGACAATATTTTCTCAAAGCAAAAAAATTTTTTTGATGAAAAATGAATTTTTAATACAATTATTTGTTATTTCATTAATTATAATAGATTTTACATTTAAGTTGTTAAAATATTATAAAATTAGTTAAAAAGCCGCATCGGCTTTCATAAGTGTCCTTATGAGATAGATCTTTTTTTTAGCGCGTTGTAAATTGTATCATTTTGACGGATCAGAAGATCCCCAGTAATTAAGAAATGTAATTTTGTGCTTATAATCGAGCTGTAATTATAAAATACGGAAGACCAACCAGAATATAATTAAGTTGCGTTATTTGAGTTAAGCATTGTTCTCCGCTGTTAAGGCCTTTACTTTTGCGAAACACGTGTGGAGAAGTTAACTTGATTTTTCAATTTCAACTGAGAAGGGTACCTACAAGTATCAGTATCATCTTATGAAATTTATATGATCTTATTTTTATATTAATCTCAGTTACGACATTTTTCCATAAATGAAATATCAAAATTAATAATAAAATGAATGCAAATATAAATAACAGTAGAATGTAATAAATGTACATAAAATTATAGTATTTTATGTATAATTCTGATAAAATTTCATAAGAAAGGTACCTATAAATTAATTAGATACTTTCTTAAGAAATATGAAATTTAATGTCACTCTTAACAGTTTTATTTTAATTTCTTTACAATATATTTCCCATAAAGCATCATAAACGTAAAGGTGAAAGCTAAGTACAAAAAAAAAAAAAAAAAAAAATTAGACCGACCGCTGAAAGTTTTCGTTAAAAATAACGAGGTAAATAATTTGTTCACGTAAATGTAAATTATTTCACTTTTCTCCTTCCGTAGAACAAATTAGCCTCATGGAATTAAATAAATATATCATTCATCACATGTCAAGAGACGCGAAAGTTTATGACCTGCTTTGTTTTATTTTCAAATTACATCTTTTTTTAGCACAAAAGCTAAGTTAAGTTTGGTTCAAAATATTTAAAATAAACATTATAATTTCTGATTTTCTTAAAATAAGTTTTGAAAAAATGATAATTGATATTTAAAAAATTTCAAAGTCAGATTTCCAGTTTTTTTTTTAATGGAAAAAATGGTCAATTTTGCTGACTCAAAAAAAAAACTAGATTTTTAACGAAAATTTCGGACGTGCTAGGAACGATTAAAAATGGAAAAAAATACCCCAAAAATACTTTGACCTTTCCTCTTAATAATAACAAACATTTAGACGATAAAATTTTGTTTTCGTCAAGTTTGGCGTCTTTTTCATCATGCTATGCTCTTTTTTTAGCGATCTCGTGGAGGTACCTAATCTAAGTGATTGATCCAATACCCACTTTGAGATGTCTACTGAAAATAAATACCCAGTCAGTTTCCAAAGTGCTGAATAAATTGTCAAAAATATATGGTAATTATATAAAATACACACACACTAAAAAAAAAAAAAAAAAAAAAAAAAATTAATATATATTATATATAAACTGTTTTTATGACCTTGCCAGGTTATAAATCTCAAACGTTTGTATACTAAAAGAAAAATGTTCACAAAGTCACTTATATAAGTTCAAGATGTCACTTAAAAGTGACCAACAATAACAACAAAAAGTTTTTAAACAGACATCTACATTGATTTGTGGGAGACATGATCTCTAGGTTTAAGTAATATAATGAAATTAGTAAAACTCGTAAAAAGCAATATATATTTTGCATAAAGTTTCTTTTTATGAATGTCTGCTTCTATTATAACTTGTGCAATTGCCTTCTCACACTATTTTTGAAAATTGACATTTTACTAGAAATCTTAGTTTATATAAAGAGATTTAACCAAGAGGTAGATCTACCAAAGGAATACCTACCAAAATGAGATTGATATGCCAAGAAAAACCATCTGGGATTATAAAGAACAGTTACAGAATTGATACAGATGCAATCTGCATTATAAATAAATAAAACGTCACTCAACTGTTATCTCTAGACAAAAAATTTTAATTCAAAATATTTTACAAATTATATTTGATATTGCAGTAAATATAAACAAAACTTTATTATGAGGACTATACAAACAAAAACACATCTGTAAATATTCAGATTATGTTACAGTTATCTAGGTTAAAATATAAAAAGTTATATAGATTACATTAAACAAGACAATCAATTTCAGTACTGATGTTTACCTTAATGATTACAACAGCAATGAGGACATGGGATAGTAGGAAATAAAATGTATACAAATTTACTAATTTTTTTTTTTTTTGTATGAAAATTTAGTAGACAGGATTGTATATTTCAAATTTGTCAGTCCTTAATCATAGACCACAAGGAGAGCAGAATTGCTGAGGAAAAGGGGTTAGAAAATAAAGAGTTAAGCTATAGTAAAAAGTTACAAGATAATCTGAACAAAGTAATTATTCAATAGATAGAAACAGTGAATTATTTGTAGAAAAAAGACAAACTAGGAAACTAGTTTTAGATGAGTAGAAAGTAAAAAGACTGAAGAAATGAGAAAATATTTGACATTAAGAGAAAAATCTATCACTATTATATTACATCTAAGTAATAGTTCTTTCAAACCATATTAAAAAATGTTGACATATATGTTGTCATACATTTTTGTTTCTCACCTGCTGAGATGCATCCACATGAAAACAAAATGCATCTTTGTCATGAGTACTTGTTTGTCCATATGTATCATCTTTATAACAAATAACTATTGCTCTACTCTTGATATAGAGCCCTCTTTTAAATTAATGCTATGAACGTTTGAATTTATATTCTTTTTGTTCTCGTTACATTTGAATACATACATTATATATATATATATATATATATATTTCCTTTTTTTAGAACAGAGGAAATTTTAGTTAATCTTATTTTTCAGGCTCCAATGGGCAATCATGAATTTGTTTACAAATTCAAGTGTCTTTTTGTATTGAAAAATACATTGATTTGAAAATTCTTACAAAAATCAAATAATTATAGGAATTTAATGAAAGTTAAATTATTTCTGAAAAAAAAATTTTTTTTGTTAAATAAAATCTTTGTTTAAAGAAGAAAAAAAAAAAAAAAAAAAAGAAAGAAAAAGTTATATATATGCATATGTGTGTTACACTCCTACTCCATTCATTTAATTTTATAAAATTTTCAGAAATTCTTTTTTTGTACTATTTAATGTTTATATTAGTTATAAGTACTCAGAGAATTTAAATCAAATTTGGAAATCAAACAGAACACCCAGTTACAGAAAATATCTCATAGACACTATAGTCTAAAAAAAAAAAAAAAAATTTTTTTTTTTTTTTTTTGTGGACATTAAATTTTTACAAGAACTGTTTTCACATTTTAAAAATTCAAATTGAAGTAATTTATAAACTTTTAAAATTCTGTATTAATTTGTAGTGGCCAAGTGATATTTAATTAAAATTGTATTTAATAATTTCTATCTGGGTATCAGAGATGAGGAATTATTTATATTTTACATATGGACAATTATCCACATATAAAAGCTCAGTATATTTCAACAATCCCCAGTATTTCCAAAAGAATTTTTTATTTTTTTTTTTATGAGTTTATAAATACATACATGACATTATCAGAATAAGAGTGGTACATTTGGTAAATTTAAAATTTATTGGTAATTTTCTAACATTTCAACAAGTGTCTTTATAAGTAAGGTTACAAAGCCAAATTTTCTAAAATTCAATAAAATATTAGAATGCTTAAAATATTTAAGTCTTAAGATTATTGGGTAGTTAAAAAAGAAAAAGAAAAGAAAGTGTTCATGTTGCATTTATCATTCAATTTTATTTCTATTATGTGTTCCTTATTTAAATTTACCAACCATCAAGCTGTCAATACATCACCTACCACATCTGGCTACAAAAAAAAAAAAAAAAAAAAAAATGATTTTCTTCAATATTTTAAACTAAAAGCAATTAATACTGGTTTCAATACAGATTAATTAAACTTCAAAAATGCTAATTTTTTCCAATAACATTTC